ACTCATACAAGGAACTACGTAGGTTATCAGTGAAATATGTTATAAATAAATAAAATTAAAAAACAATAATTTTAAAAATAAAATTTTACTGAGGGGCAAAATAGTAAAGGAAAGGTGAAGGAAGGGGCAAAAAAGTAAAGGGGAGGTGGAGGAAGAGATGTGTGGGGGTGGAGGGAGCAACTCCCTAGTTTTTTATAGACAAGTCCATTTCAAACATTTGGGCCAAGGCCCGAGTAAAGTAATTAGCTGAATTTCTACTATCATTAACTCTTGTCTATTGAAGATGTAGAAGTTTATTGTGTTACAAATTCAATAACATCTTGAGTCATAATTTCAACATTTACACACTCAAATATCATACATTATATGCATTTCATATGCACACAGCTTACTTAAGCAAGTTTTTGGATTAACTAAATATAGAATAATTGAACCTTGCTTTTAATTTATTTTAGTTTACACAATTTGAATTAAATTCTTCTATATCTAAGTATACTCATTATTTTTTAAAATAAAAAATATATAAAATGTTTAATTATTTTTTTAAAATATTTTATAGTTTTTTAAGAATTAGTATTTTTAATTTTTAATTTTTAATACATTTTAATATTATATTTTTAAATAAACTACGTAGTACTTAATATAATTTAAATTATGATTAGATTTTCATATGAATCGTATTTATAAGAAAATGTTTAGTTAAAATCTTATTACATAAATTAGTTTTAAATCATTAAATATAAAATGACATGTACAATTATACATTTATTTTAAGAAAATTATATTCAAATTACTTCGTAATAATTAAATATAAATATAAAATAGTATATATTGTTATACATATTGATTACAATCTATTTAGAAATATAGATAGAAACTGTGTATAATAATTGTTTTTAATATACCACCCACAATTAAAGAGTTAATCTCAAATTTAATCGGGAAAAATATTTATAGCAATTAATCAAAATTGGTGTTTACTATTTTTATTTTAATTTTTTTTTATCCATTTTTAATAACAAAATTATGATTTTTTTTTGGTGAATTTTCAAATTGAAAATTTGCTCATCAAACGTACACATTGGTTTTAATTTATTAAAATAATTATTCTAAATACTAGTTTTGATTTATTGAAAAATATATTTATTTTGTAATTGAAGTTCAATATTAGTTAAAGACACCAAAAAGAGATAAAACATTAATTATAAAAATATAGGAAGATGAAATATGAAAAATAAATAAAAAATTTATTTAGGTACACATATGAAACAAGGTGAAATAATGGAAAGTTTATTTATTCTTACAGATGTTGAGAAATAATAAATATTGAAAGTAATAGAAAATTTATTTATTATAAAGTACAGAGATGGATGAAACCAGGGTTTAGTGGTTCTCTTGAAAAGAATTTGCATCAGCTTGTTGACTCCGACCTTGTTTTTCTTTTCATGAAATAAACTCTTCAAGAGCTGTAAAAGTAAAAATATTACATAAATAAAGAAACTAATATACAACAGCTAATAGGTTCATGCATGATTTTAAGACTATTAAATCATACTTAAATATGTTTTCTTTTTTTATATATAGAATCTTTTCTTTTAATTAATTGTGCATGATTAGTATTTTTTTGTATGATGTAATGTGAATCTTAAAATTTAATGACATCTTATTTATTATCTTATTATGTTTTCAAGTATTAGAATTAATTTTGTTTTAATTTAAAGAAAGTAATTTATGTTAATTTTTATTTTATTTTATTTTAACAAATGATGAATCATGGTGATAAAAATTTTAGTAATAGAGAAATGATTTATATGGAAAAAGATTAAATGTGGAAAGTAATAGAAAATTTATTTATTGTTAAGTACGGATTTGGAGGAAGATGAAATTTGAAGAAGCAATAGAAAATCTATTTTTCAATTCTAGATATGGAGGAATATGAAATATGGAAATAAAAATCTATTTTTCAATTCTAGATATGGAGGAAGATGAAATGAAAAAATAATAAAAAAGAATATTTTTTTAATTCTAAAAATGATGAAGTTGAAATATAGAAAAATAAAATAAAAAAACTATCTGCTTTTAATTCTAGAAACGGAGGAAGTAATAAAAAAAATTATCTATATTTTAATTTTTGATGAAATATGGAAAATAATAAAAACTAATATACTTTTAATTTTTAATTCTAGAATGGAAGATGAAATATAGAAAAATAATAAAAAATTTATCTATTACTTCATTTTTTGTAGTAGGATGAAAATAGAAAAAAAATATTTTAATTTAGATATGCTGGAAGATGAAATATAGGAAAGTAATAATATATATATATATATATATATATATATATATATATATATATATATTAATTCTACAGAGAATATGAAATATAAAAAAAGTCATACAAAACTATCTATTTTTTAATTCTAGACATGAAATATGGACAAATTACAAAAAAAAATTATTTATTTTATGAATAATTAATTACAAAATTATCTACTTTTTTATTCTAGACATAAAGAAAGAGAAAAATAGAAAAGTGATAAAAAAAATTATTAAGCTTATGTTTAATTTTTTTTTAAAGTATCTTGATACTTCAAATAATTATTAAGCTTATGCTTGGTACTTAAAAAATAATTATTAAGCTCATCCTTGGTACTTCAACAAATAATTATCAAGCACCTCCAACAAATAATTATCAAGCATATGCTTGGTACGTCAAAAAAAAATTGTCAAAAGTGATTCAAAAAATAATTGTCAAGTTTATGCTCGGTACTTCAAAAAATACTTATCAAGCTTAAAAAAATTATTAAGCCCTTGTATAATGCTTAAAAAAATTATTAAGCCCTTGCACAATGCTTAAAAAAAGTTATTAAGCTTAATGAATTATTAAGATTATGCTTAATACTTAAAAAAGAAGAAGTTGTGCTTAATACTTCACAAAAATTATTAAGCTTATGGTTAATACCCCCAAAAGTGATTAAGCTTAAGCTTAATACTTCACAAAAAGTTATTAAGCTTATGCTCAATACCCCACAAAAATTATTAAGCTTATCTTTAATATACTTCACAAAAATTGTTAAGCTTATTATCCTTAATACTTCACAACATAATTATCAAGCTTATGGTTGGTACTTCAAAAAATAATTATCAAACTTATGATTCGTACTTCAAAAAATAATCCTCAAGTTTATGCTTGTTACTTCAAAAAATACTTACCAAGCTTATGCTTGATACTTCAAAAAGAATTATCAAGCTTAAAAAAATTATTAAGCCTACGCATAATACTTCAGAAAAATTATTAAAATTAAATCAATTATTAAGCTTATGCTTAATCCTAACAAAAATTATTAAGCTTATGCTTAATACTTCAAAAAAATTATTAAGATTAAAAAAGTTATTTAAATTATGCTTAATCAGTACAAACACTGTGTTCATTTTTTTATGATGATAAAAATAATAAAATTATTATTATTATGAAATTAAATATATTTTTTAATAACTTTGTTGTAAATATATTGATTTTATAAGTAGTTTTAATTAAAAAAATATTTAAATTAAAAAAAACTATCAAATTGAAAAAAGAAACGGTTAAATTTAAAAAAAAAAACAACAAAATCGATAAAATAATTAATTTAGTTTAAAAAAATTATTTAAATGGTAATTTTAGAAGAAAAAAAAAACATCAACACAAAAAAGGAAAATCTCCTTTATATATAGGTATAAATACTTAAAAAGTATATTTGCTTAAAAAATTATTACACTTATGCTTAAGATTTCAATAATAAATTATTATGTTTTAGAAATTTATTAAAGTTATGCTCAAATACTTCACAAAAATTATTAAGCTTATAGTCAATACTTCACAAAAAAATATTAGTCTTAGTTATGCTCAATGCTTCACAGAAATTATTAAGCTTATGCTTAATACCTCACAAAAATGGTTAAGTTTATCTTTAACACTTCACAGAAATTGCTAAACTTATCCTTAATACTTCACAAGAATTATTAAGCTTATCCTTAATACTTATAAGAACTATTAAGCTTATACTTAACGCTTCACAAGAATTAGTAAGCTGATATACTTAATACTTCACCAGAGTTATAGTAAGCTGATATACTTAACACTTCACCAGAGTTGGTAAGCTAATGCTTAATATACTTCACAAGAATTATTAAGCTTATGCTTAACACTTCCTAAAATGATTAAGTTTATGTTTAATACTTCACAAAATGATTAAGCTTGTGCTTAACACTACACAAAATGATTAAGCTTATGCTTAATACTTCACAAAATTTGTTAAGTATATATATATAATATTTCAGAAAATTATCAAGCTTATGCATAATAGTTAGCAAAATTATTAAGCAAAAAATTATTAACTTGAGATAATCCCAGCTTAATTATAAACATGGAGGAGGTGAAAGATGAAATATGAACGAGCAATTTATATTGGTAAAGATTTGAATTAATAGGCATCCCGAATTTAATTAGAAAAAAATTATTTAAATAGGATGCACGTAAGGCAATTCAAAGTTAATATAAAAAGTAAAAGTATGAATAAACACATGTAGAAAAATCATACAGAAAAATATATGTGATAAAAGAATAGATACAAAATCAAGATAAGAAAAACAAATTCCATTAAAAGAAGTAAAACCCTTAGTTGCATCATATTGCAGCAAATCTAAAATTTCGAAGGGATGGGAAAATCTACAGTGAGCAGATTGACGTTTTCAAAATAGAAAAATGGTAAAAAAAATATATGATAAATGAGAAAAGCTACTAAACACTGATTCGGGTTTCTAGAAAAAAAATAATCCTAAAAATATAGTAACGAAAAAGAATAAATATAATACATGTATAGAACTTTACTATCATCTTTTTATTTGAAATTTTTATCATTTCATTAAAAGAAAATAAATACTCATTTTTTATATTTCATATTTATTGTGTTTTTCACCTGACTTTAGAAATGTTGTAAAATTTATAAACATTACGGCAGAGAACCAAATATTTAAAATTAAAATGGAGAAAAAAAAAGGATTAAAAATCAAATGCAATGGAAATAAAATCTCCTTCAGTCCCAAGAAAGATATTTATTCTCGAGAAACATATTTCTTTGTCATCCTGCATCAGTAGAAAGAAAAAACTCCATGGTGTTATTCCGAAGCCCTCTATACAACAAATCAATATACATCTTACAAATCTATCAGACATATGTGCTTATTAATACTTTAAACACATAATAAAGTGATAAAGAAACTAACTTGTTCATAAGGATCCATACAAATCGGCGAAGTGCAACAATGGCGTATGTGAACTGTCATTCAAGAAATCAGATTCCAACATCGAAAAATTGTTGTAATTGGATTTCACCTCGCCGCCCATGTTGCAGCCGTCTTCTTCGTCCGTGCTCACCGACGCAGTCGCCTCGTTCTCTTCCGGCTCTCCCTTTAACTCTCTCTTTAACGGTGGAGTAGCCGGTTTAAAGGCGTCGGCGTCGCCAATGGCAGTATCGTCGTCGAGATCGGAGCGACAAATTCCCGTGAGCTTCTGCACGAGCTCCCTGAAGTGACGCGGGTGCGTCTGAATGATCCTCGGTGATTGCGTGTATATGATCACTGGTTCCTTATGCTGTACCCTGCTCACTGATGATTTCTTTATCGTTTGAGATTGCTTGTTGATTTTCAAGGCACGTAGTACCTTCCCCGTCTTTGGATTCATGGATAGTTAAATTAATTTAGATTTACGATTGTGGTAATTATATATATATATATATATATATATATATATATAGTTGAAATTCTTATTAATTATTAAATAATTGGAGCTAAATTTGGAAGAAATTTAAAAAAATATGCACGTGTACATATACGTGGGAAGTGTTAGTTGAGAAAAAGGAGAACAAGCATGCCACGTGTGTCGTAGGTGTCTTTTTTACCGCAGCCAAAGGGTCCACGTGTAAGTACCTGCGAGTTCAGCTCTAATCTTACCTAGCAACAATTTTTTTTTTAATTTTTTTTTTCTGTTTCCATAAATTGTTAATTGCTGACAGATATTCCTAACCAATCAGATCCCAGAACATTCTAAAGGTTCCTTTGTCTGTTTTGATCTGCTAACCCCGTTAAACCTAACTTCTACGGTTTGGAAGTTTAATTGATTTACAAAATTATTTCAAACTATTAAATTCAGTTATTATAAGATCTAATATATATATATATATATATATATATATATATATATAAATTATTTTACATTAATTTTAATATACTTTTTCTCTATTAATACTGAGAAAATAAATATTTAAATAAAACAATAACAATAAAAATGAATACATTTTATTATTTTCAAAACGTTGTACTTATCACCACGCAAATACTAGGATAAATAGTCGATTATTGAAATTAAATCCAGTATCAACATCTCTATCAGTTAACTGACGCGAAAAAAGTATATAATAAACTGAATATTTTTTGTTACTAAGCATCATGTAGGAATACTCAAAATATTTAGGGATGTCAATTTGATTTATGATGTAAAATTTGTTCTAACTTATTTTCAAATCAGATTCTTTTTATTAATTCACTAAATGAAGAGTCTTAGAAACTTTAATATTTAAAATATTTTCTTAATTAAAAAAACCTAATATCATTTAAGTTTCCAATAATAAAAATCCATTATAATAATAATCTTTTTAATATTGAAAAGATGTATTGTTATTTTGTTATTAGGTTGTTGATTAAATAAATATATCTTAGTTATTATTTGTAAATATCTCATTCTCAATACTTCATATTTAATACTATTTATTAGAGAGTTTTATAGGTGTATATTCCTCCGTTTTATTTGAGAATTTTGAAGGTGTATATTCCTCGGTTTCTACCAAGAAGCTCGGTCCAACGTCAATCAAGAATAACAACTTGATCTTGGAGATCAATTTCACCTAAGACCGTTTGATCAAAATCTGGTAAGCACAATAGTGAATTAAGATCATGATTAAAGGAGACTTAATGTAATTTGTTTTGTGTTCTTCAAATTAAAATAAAAAAAACTTAGATATTTCAAATTAAGTAAAATATAATTTTAATTGTGAGAACCATTAAAATCCACTCAAGTACTGTCTTAGTGGATTACATGTGTCAAGAAGGGGGTCTGACACTCAGATGGAGGAAGGCAGGTGTGAGCAGCTGAGTGGACGTTTGTTTTGACCTTGAAAGGAAAACTTTGATTTTCAGAATTTCACACCACTCTCTGCATGCACCCTTCTTCCCCAAATTTCTGAAAAACTCCATTCTCTCCTCTTCTCTCTACATCTCCTTCATCTTCTCTCTAAGAAATCCTCACGGTTTCTTTCTCCGATCATCACTCAAGCACCATTTTCACTCCTCCGGTGTCAAGAGCTTCAGTTTGAGCAGATCGATTTGTGAAGTTGAGCTGGTAAGTTTTTCTCTTCACTTAGTCGTGTGTTTTCTTGGACATGCAAACCAAGTTCTGGTTTCATGTGTTGATCACTCTTCTAAAAATGATAGGTTCTGATAGTGTTTTGGTTTTACTTGGTTTAGTTTGAAAATTGTTGAGCGTTGAGGGTAGAAAGACTTGTAGTGGTGAAACCGTATTCTATCTCTGTGAACGTTCGGTCACCCTCAGAGGTAAGGGAAGCTTATATAATTTGATTTGTATGTTTGTTTGGATTGTATGTATGTTCGTTGAGTTGCTCAATTAATATGAAATATGATTGTTGCTATGTTTTGACTGTATGAAGTATGAAAATTTACTATGATATGGATGTATGAAATTATAAAGATAAATGTTGAGAAATGAATTGAGATAAATAATTCTAAGTATGAAATTCCCTATGATAATGTATGTTCGTTACTGAATGATCTTTGACCGTTCAGTTTTTCTCGGGGACTCGTTTAGAACTGGAATCTTTCATTTGGAAGGAATTCCTGTTGAGGACCGAGCGTCTTTGTCTAGTAAAATTTGTGTATAGGCGTTCCACCAAGGATAATCGTTCCTTGGCATTCTGATATAAATTTAAGTATATCTATATGTAGTAGTATGTTGGTTCGTTCTTGAACATTGGTTAATTGATATCGTATAATTATCGCTTTATTCTATAAATTAAGTTGTGCTCGGTCTTACACCAAATGCTCGTACTATTTCATGCTAGGTCTTTCACCAAGCGCTCTTACGATTTAGTGCTAGGTCTTTCACCAAGCGCTCTTACGATTTAGTGCTAGGTCTTTCACCAAGCGCTCTTACGATTTAGTGCTAGGTCTTTTACCAAGCACTCGTACTATTTAATGTTAGGTCTTACACCAAGCGCTCGTACGATTTAATGTTAGGTCTTACACCAAGCGCTCGTACGATTTAATGTTAGGTCTTACACCAAGCGCTCGTTCTCTTTTCTGTAATCTATCTTGATAATAAGAGCGTTCGTCCAAACTCAATAATGTTCACCCTCTACTGTGCTCGGTCTTTGACTGACATTCGTTTTTTTTTTGTGTTAAACTCATAAATAAGCTAAGTATTTATAGCGTTCGGTTTCTTCATATGATTCTTTTAAGTACTATTCTTTGAATGTTTTGTAATGTCTGCCTCCATTGGTTTCGGCCTAGAGTCTTAGTACTCGGCCTAGGCTTTACGGTGATTAGTCTAAACGCTCATGGTCAGTTCATTAAATTGGCTCACCTTGTAAATAACGTTCGATTCTTTTAGTCTTGAGAAATATTATTGTAATCGGTCTCTTTCCCAACCCGATATTCACTCTCTCGGTTTTGATCCGTTTTGGAACTGGAAACCTCTCGGTCTCACTCCAAGTGTTCGATCTTGCTCGGAGTGGAAGATGTACGTTCACTATTTTGTATCTTAGGGATCTTCTTCAAATTGAGGTCTAAAAAAATGAAAAATGATGAAGTATGTTATGGATGAAACATATTTGATTTTGAAAGAGTATTCCGGGGAGGAATATCTCATGAATGAATAATGGAATTGGTAAAGTATGAATGTGGGCATGCTAAGTTGGCGGTTCATCCTGATATTCCATGATTACTCCTTCTCACTTAGAGAAGGGTAAGTCATGCGTGGGAATGGCAGGAGGTCCTAGTCCTTATGGTTAATTTGGACAGATAGGACTAACCTCGGGTGGCAGCTGTTGAGGGTATCCTAGTTACTACATCACCCGGGTGCACGAACGTCGTAGCTACACAAAGTTCATACAGTCCGGACAGTCAGAGTCTAGTATTAGGCTTTGTGTGTAAAAGTGAATGACTATATCTTTTATTTTTAATTGTGTGAAATCTATGTTGATATTTGAAATTGAATTACATAAGCTTACCCTATATTTCTTGTCTTGTCTGTTTCGTACGTTCGGTTGTCTTTCTGTTGCAATGATTATCCATGTGGATGTGAGCAGAAGGAGACGAGCTGCTGGAAGAAGCGTTGGAAGAAGAAAATTTGGTTGAGGTAGAAGTTAAGACCGAACAGTAGAACCGTTCGATCAACATATTATTTTAGTTGTAAGATGATCGTTCGATCATCTTTTCCCTTTTCTTTTGTATGACCGTCCGGTATAAGCCTTTTGTAAACCGTTCGGTCGAGATTGCTTATATTGTATAGTTTTAATTTTCTTTTCGTTTTGTAAGGCCGTTCGGCCAAAATCATACGTTGTATATTTTTGTAAGACTGATCTATAATATTATAAGATGTGATTATTCTATTATATAGTTTTATACTGTATTTTTTTTGGGATGTTAGATTAATACCTGACAAATTAAATTTTAAAATAGTTTTGAAACTTCTCAAAATCATAATATTTAATTTAAGAAACTAAACAAAAATTTTAAATGTTAAAACTAAAATCTGAATTATTCTAAATTTCAGAAAACAAAAATATAATTTAATAATTTAAGAAACTAAGTTGATGTTTTCTTAACTGACAATGAATTTTTAAATTAAAAGTAAAGATATGCGCTTTTTATTAATTTAAATACAAGTATTTCAACAATGTTTACATTATTAATGAGGTTTCCTCTAAATAAACATAGGGACAACTTTGAGTTATTTAAAATATTAAATTAAATTAAAAAAATATGAAATACCAAATTAAATACAAAGAAATGAATAAAAGTTTAAAAGTATACTTTTTTTTTATAAAAATTAATTATTTGATATTAAAATAGAAAGAAAATAAAGACAAACATCCGTACGAATGCCTATTATAACAAATTTTTAAATTAAAAGTAAAGATATGCGCTTTTTATTAATTTGAACACAAGTATTTCAACCATGTTTATATTGTTAATGAGGTTTACTCTAAATAAACATAGAGACAACTTTGATTTATTTAAAATATTAAAAAAAATATGAAATACCAAATTAAATACAAAAAAATGAATAAAAGTTTAAAAGTATAATTTAGTTAAAATTTGCTAAAAGTAAATATAAAATGTACCTTTTCTAAGTTAAATAATTTAATATATATTTTTGTATGTTTTTCACATTCTTTATATTTTTGTTAGAATTCTGTAACATGGCGTTTGGAAAAAATCAAAATGAATTGGTTTGTTTAATAAAATTGTATTTTTTTTAAATCTTTTTATAAATTGTCTTTACAATTAAACTTAATTCCTTTGAAAATAATAATAGATAAATAAAAAAATAGGAAAATATATTTGCAAAATTAATTTTATATGTAACCTTATATCAATGGAGAGAAAAGCACAA